ATCTTGTTAATTCTTTCAAAGAACCAGCTCCTAGTTTCGTTGATCTGTTCTACTGTTCTTTTAGTTTCTATTTCGTTGATTTCTGCTCTGATCTTTATTATTTCTCTTCTCCTGCTGGGTTTAGGCTTTATTTGCTGTTCTTTCTATTTTGACGATGTTCTGTAGTCTTCAGTGCACAAGTCTTGTACTCTTGTTAAATTTATTCCTAAGTATTTTATTTTTTTTAGATGCTGTTATAACTGGGATTGTATTCTTAATTTCATTTTAGCTTGTCTATTGCTAGTGTATGGAAATAGAATTGATTTTTGCACATTGATTTTCTATTGTACAAACTTCCTGAATGTTTATTAGTTCTAAGTTTTTTTTAGTGAATTCTTTAGGATTTTCTATGTACAGAATGATTATCATCTGTGAATAGAAATCTTTTGCTTTTCCCTTTCTAATCTAGTTGCCTTTTATTTCTTTTTCTTGACTAATTGCCCTGTGTACAATTTCCAGTACAATGTTTATTGAATGTTGTAAGAGTGGATATCATTGTCTGTTTCTGATCTTATGGGAAAAGCATTCAGTCTTTCACCATTACATATGATGTTAGTTTTCGAGTGTTTCATAAATAGCCTCTATCAGGTTGAGAAAATTCTCTTCTATCTCAGTTTGTTGAATATTTTTGTCATGAGAGGGTACTGGATTTTGTCAGAGGCTTTTCTGCATCTAGTGACATAATCATATAGTTTTGCCGTAGTGTCTTTCTTGACATATATATATTTTTAGTAATATAGTATGTTTTTACAGTTAAAGTGTCAAGGATAGAAAACAAATGACTACATTTGGTTAGATTTCATTGCTAAGCAATATCTTGGTGGAGTCATTTGGGGCAACTATTTTTCTTGGTTTTCCAGGTAGGAAATTCATTATTGCATTTTTACTGACGGTTAAGCAGGTACTGAGGTGTGACGTGCTAATGTATTCACAAAAGACCCACTTATAGGTCACAGTATGACTTTATTCATGTATATGCAGTAAGTTGTAGTTGACCAACTTTCTTCTCTTGGCTTTCTTTTCTTGGCTTTTTACATTTTCCTGATTGTCTTCCCTCTCAGTGTCCTTTGATTGATCCTCCTCTGTTGTTTGACATATAAAAGCTGGAGTATCCTTGGTCTTGGTCTTGGGCCCCTTTCTCTTCTCTAGATACTAGGTCTCCATTGGCGATCTCATATCTAGCTTTAAATACCATCTATGTGATGATGGTGAGTAAATCTGTTTCTCCAGTTTTGACCTCTGTCTGGACTTCAGTCTCATGCATCCAGCTGCTTACACCTATTTTCTCCTGGATAAGATGTCTGATAGTCATATTAAATGGATCCCACTTGATCTCTCCATTGCTGTCTCTAAATCTGTACTTCCTCTGGGTTTCTCCTTATCAATAAACAGTCCCAGCACCAATCCCATTATCAAAGCTTTAAAATCAAGGAGTTTTCCTTGGTTTGTCTTTCCCTCACTACCTTTAGCTTTAATTCATCAGCAAGTTCTGTCAATTTTACTCCAAAACATATTTCAAATTTGTCTATTTCTCTCCATGTCCACCACTACTGCCCTAGTCCAAAACACCATTATTCATCAACTGCAACAGCTTCTTCCCTGGTCTCTCTTCTTCCATTTTTTTTTTTCTTTATGAAGAAGAAGTCTTGTAGTGCCCTTCTGTTCTTCCAATTTTGTCATACTTCACCACAGTCTACCCCTCATGCAGTAGGCAGGGTTATTTTTAACAACCTAATTCAGATCATGTGCTCCTTTGAAAAACTCCTGCTGGGTTCACATTATTCTTAGAATAAAATCCAAGCTCCACACTGCTGGCCTTGTTGATCTCTCTTGCTCTCATTCTCCCTTTGCTTTTTCTACTCCAGCTTCACGGACTTTCTTTCTCTTCCCCAAACATGCCAAGTGAGTTCCCATCACAGGGTCTTTGCATTAAGTCCTTATTTGTTTTAAAACCTGGGGTGCTCTTTCTTCTCATCTTTATGTCAGGAAATGGTCCTATTGGCTTATTAATCTGTACAATCATAATTGTGTGGTGTGGGAGGTAATGAAGCAATAAAAATGCATTATGAATGTGTTCTATAGACCCAACCCAATACCTTGTTCCTGAGGCCCTGCCTGGTGGTTTGGATTTCTCATGCAATATTCTCAACAAATGCACTTGATATTGGTCAGTCAAGGACAACCTCTTTGATGAGACAATATTCAAGTTGAGATCTGAATGGCAAAGTAAAGGAGGCATACACATAGATAGAGAGAGAGGCCATGTGAGGGAGTAGAGGAGGGTCAGATCAAGACTCAGAGGATCTGGGCTCTACACTCAGCTCCATCAGTAGCGTGGTAAACTTGGACAAGTTTCTTGATCCTTCTGTTCTTCTATTTCCATGAAAAGGTATCTACTCTGTATAGTTGGAAAACCTGCATAGGGTTGCTACAAAGTAAAATGATCTTCACTGTTATCGTTAGCTAACATTCTTGAGTGTGGATAAAATAACTGGCTGGTTTCTTTGGAGGATTCAATGAGTACGAACTATGGTTGTTTTTCTAGAACTCTGTACGATCCAGTTAGGAAGATAATTTATATAAATAAAGCTATAGTTTAAAAAGTATATGGTAAGTAAAGTTTAGTTCTATAGACATTAATTGCTTAAGGAGTTCAGAAGAGAGCTTATTTCTGGTTTAGGTGATCAGGGGAAGTTACATGTTGAAGGAGGGATATGAAAAAAGCCTTGAGTGGGGTCTTCAGTGGGTGAAGAAAAAGAGCATTCCAGGTGGGAGAGCTATGTCCAGAGTTTGTACTCAATTCTTTCTACAAAGTGCGCCTGGTGGCAGAGGAGAGTAAGTAAGCCCCCAGAGAATAGTCTTCATGATAGAAGTGAACGAAAATTGAGGATATTTATTGATTGAATGACAATAAGGCTAAGCAAGAAAGAACAACGAAAAGATTACCCCAAGATTTCAAGCTTAAGAGACTTAGGGAATGGCAGGGTCATTAACAGAGGGAAGCTGGGAGAAGGACAGAGCTCACTTTCAGCCACCATCATAAGTATGTATTATTGCAGATACAATTTAGAAATGTTTTGAAAAATCTATGAACCACATTGGAAATGTGAGGTTATTATTTTCCTCAGGTCAAGGCCCCAGCAAGCCCATTGCTAAGCCCTTGGCCTGGTGCTTTCCATGTCTTTCCTTATAGATCCTCTTGAGAGCCTTAAGAGGTTGGTATAATTATTCCTATTTTACAGAGAGGAGATTGAAGATTAGAACAGTGGTTCTCAACCGGGGGTTTCTCCCTAGGGAACATTCGATAATTTCCGAAGGCATTTTCCATTGTCATGATTGAGGACAGAGTTGCGACTGGTATCAAGTAGCTAGAGGCCAGGGATGCTGCTAAACATCTTACAACGCGTGGGACAGCCCCCCACAGGAAAGATTTATCCGGTCCAAAATGTCAGTAGCTCCGCAGTTGAGGATCTTGGTTTAGAGGGATTAGGTAATTTGCCCAAGGTAACGCAGCTAGTAAGTAGCAGAGCCAGGACCTTTCCGATAGGGTGTCCCAAACACGGTGTTGAAACCCGCCCGCCTCCCAAGGCCACAAACCAGCAAAATCTAAAAGCCTGAATTATTATTTTAAATGCAGAGATTTTAAGAGCAATTTCACAGTGGAGGTGATATTTAAAAAATAAGCGTCCAGTCACAGTGGTGGCCAGAGCTCCTCCTAGCTTTGTCGTTAGGAGGTCTTGTGCGGGCATTATTCATCCAGTTCGGGAGCTAATGCAGTTCCTGCCGTCCATTTCAGGTGTCATTCTCTCGGAAGACCAAGCGGTAGGACCAGCGTCCTCTACCTCACCCGCCGTTAAAATGGAAAGCTCAGCTGCTTGTAGAGCGTCCGGCCGGGAAACCATGACCGCACCAGCAGAACCCACGGAGCCAGCTGTGGCAGAACCTGGAATCGGCGACAAAGCGAAGGAGAGAGGAGGCCAGGCGCAGCCCCCCTTCCGCCACAGATCCGAGGGCGGCTTAGTGGAGAAGGAAGCCTTGAAGAAGTCGCCGCAGCTGTCCTTGTCTCAGTACGACCCACTAGAAACGGACGTTTCCTTCCAGCCCTGGGGCAGCGAGAATTCCGTCCGGAGTCCGGAACCTGTGGTTTGTGCCCAGGGCTCCTTAAGGGAACAGTGGCAAAGCCAGTCAGCCGAGGACAGCCTGAGCGGCAGCGGCCCCCAGTGCAACACGGTGATCGCCAGAGCCGCGCGCCCCGCGCCCGGCGCCCCCGGGCGCGCGGACCCGCCCCCGACCCAGGAAGTGGACAGCTCGGACAGTGAGGTGGCTGTCACTCTTATTGACACTTCTCAACCTGGAGACCCGCTGAGTCTGCGGGAGCCCATTAAAATCGTCATCACCATGAGCAGCAGCCCGAACTCCCTGACGGACTTGGAAAGCTCGCTCCCCCTGAAGGTGATCGGCACCGAGAGGGCCGGCTTGAAGTCCGACGCCGAGCCGGCCGCCCCGGGGGTGGCCAGTCCTCCCAGCACGCAGCAAAGAATTCCTGTCATCACCCTTGAGCTCTCCGAGGACGGGGGAGGAGGCGCCATGTGTCCCGAAGGCAACGGAAGTGACAGGACCCCGGAGAGATTGACGGTGGAGGCGTCATCCAATCAGTGTTCGGGCTATGAATCCGGGGAGGGGGGAAATGCCCCAAAGGATGGCAGTCCGTCCCCGGGAGACCGCTGTGACACAAGGCCCCCCTTCACACCTCACGAGGTCCCTGAGTCTGAGGGGGGAAAGGAAGGCCAGGCTAACCTTGACCCGTCATCCTGTAAAACTAGCCACGAAAAGAGACACACCCGGGTTCTCAGTGTGGACAGTGGGACGGATGTCTTCCTGAACAAAACTTCCACAGACATGATCAACGATAAAGAAAAAACAATGCCAACTTCCAAATCTGACCTAGAGGCTAAGGAAGGACAGATACCAAATGAATCCAACTTCCTAGAATTTGTCTCCCTATTAGAATCAATCAATACTTCCAAGCTGGCGGCATCCAGCCAAAGGAGTGGCCCAGGAGAGCAGGACAAAAACAGTGGGCTTCTCGGAGGTACGATTCCACATCAGTTGTGTCGTGATGACACAGAGAAGGCAATCCATATCCTAATGAGCTTCTGTGATTTGGTTTTGCAAATATTGGGTCACTGCTGCTTTGGTGATATTATTGGTAATTGCCAGATGTGCCAATACTAAGCGGTGTGTTGAGCATATATTAACATTGGCTTACTCCAGCAGGAAATTTAAGGCAGAGTAGTGAATGTTTCGCTTCCCTAGAAGGCAACAGTATTTATTTCCAAGGAAATGAGCAATTATATTTTATCACCATGACAAGAACTCACAGATTTCTCCCCCTTTATGGAACTGATGCATTCTGGGAAAGCTGATTGTAAAGCACATTTCTGTGAGGTGAACCCACTTTTCTGTTGAATTCCATTATGAAATCCTTGTATGCAGAACTCCCTAATTATCCCAACTTGTAAACATAATTATAACAAACACGCAGCTCCTAGTGTGTGCCAGGCACTGTCCTAAGCACTTCATGTGTATCAACAGGGATGACTGTACATTGTGGTTTGCCCTGGAGGGTCCTCATTTACACCATTTTGCCACCATAGTTAGTAATAGCACTGCCTTTCACCCTCAGAGGTGTTCCCAGTTTGAACAATAAATTATACAGTTACTTTCATCTTAACTCATTTACTCCTCATAGAACCTTATATTATGGGTACTATTATTTCCCTTTTGCAGATGAAGCTCAGAGGTTTTCACTAACTTTCCCAAGTGAGTCTAGTAAGTCTAGGAGAAGTACCAGAACTGAGCTTTGATTCCAGGCAATCTTGATCCAGAGCCAATGCTCCTACAAACTATATTTCCTTTATGAATGTGAGATTCATTTCTTTTCCACTTGCTTAATATCTCTGGGCTCCATATCCTCACTGGCAAAAGGATGTTACTGGACTAGAGTTTTCACAAAATCTTTTAACTTTAAATGTCCATGTTCCTGTGATTGTTGAGTACATTTCTGCCTATGTATCTGATAAAATAATGTCTGTATGGTAGGCTTGCTTGCTGGCAGTTTGATTTGCACATGCGGGCTCCTTTCCTTTGCTCCTTTCCTTTCTCTGCTACTCCCAGAATGCGTAGCACTTAGTGCCAGAACTGTCCTTTTGCCCGTGGATGTTCCCTGCTCTCTGGGACAGTCAGGGGCCCCTCTGGCTCCATGTTGGCAATGACCAGCAATTTGCTCGTTTCTTTTGCTTTTCCAGTATCTGCCAAAAGGATTGCTGTGCTTGTCAATTGGCCCACCTTTACTTAAAAACACATTAAGTCTGGGTATTTAACTTATGTAAAGCGAATGTATTCTTCATTTTACTATGTCTCTATATCTAAGAGTCTGCATATCGAGTGATAAGAACAGGGAAGATTCAGGTAAATATTTTAACAACCCGGGCAGTACAAGAAAGCATTGGTTACTTTGGGATAAAAATCTTTCTGATACAGGATTTGGGGGTTCATCTGTTTTATATAAATATTCATGCATCTAGATTAGCACTGTCCAATGCAACTTTCTGCAGTGATGGAAATAGCCCATGTCAGCTTGTCCAGTACAGTAGCCATTAGCCACAGGTAGCTGTTAAACACTTGAAATGGGGATTGTGCAGCTGAGCAACTGAATTTTTAATGTTATTAAATTTAAATAGCCCCACGTGGCTGCTGGCTACCGTATCAGACAGCGCTGATCCGTACATGTGTGTCTGCCCAGGATGCAGTGTGTATGGTGGATGGAGTATTAGCTTCGGAACCTCCGAGCCCAGGGCCAAATTTTGGTTTTGCAGTACCAGCTGGGTGAGGTTGGACAACTTACTAAATCCATCTGAGTCACAGTTTCTTCAGAAAAGCAGGAATAACGAACGACAGGTTACAGATTTACTGTGAGGATCCAATTAGGAAAATATGTGAAAAGTTTTGCTCCTTGATCAATTTCAGCCTTTTATTCTGAATTTCCCGTCAGGCCATACGTAAGGTTTATTTTATTTGTCCACTTAAGTTTCTGCTCTTCTTGAATTTTTCAGCCAACCACATTCAATCCAAACAGTATAAAATTGGAAATCTAGGGGTGTGCAAAGAAATATGGATGCTATAAGGTTTTCTATGGAAAGGAACAGGCCTGCAGGTACAGCAGGGAGGGAGGAACTGGAGTGGATTATATGCCTCTTCCAGGAAAGGACAGAGGTTTTTGATTGAAGGATGAAAGAGAAGGACATAAGTCTTTTAGTTCTTGGAAGGCAAGAACGAAAGGTGGCAAATTAGATGCTGTTTCAGTGGTGCCTTATGACTTTGAGATCGATAACATCTTCTTGCTCCTCTATTACTACATAATAACTTGCTATGTGTTGTAATCTAAAAACCCATTTCAGAGTGTATTTCTAAGACAACATGACAGTGTTGAATGATATCAGCAGCCTAGGCAATGTGCCCTTATCTTTCCCCTGCTTGATAGTGAAATAATGCTCGACCTTTACACGATTGTAAGATACATGATTTCTCAGTTCTCTCGATGGTATTCTTATATTTCCAACCCAGGTCCTTTCCGCAAAGGGCTTTATGATTATCTTCAGGCCTTGGGTATATACTAAGGTTCTAGGCTATGAAAAACCACACTCTTATCAAAAGCTTTTAAAACCGTGTTTTCATTTTGTTTTGTTTTGATACGCCTTTCTTTTACTTTGTGGGAATAAACCAAGACCACTCAAGTGAGAAGCAAAGGCTATTACTCAGAGCTTGCTACAGCAAGGGAGTCGCCACTATTACCTGAGTTTTGGCAGAGACTCAAAGGCAGGCAGAGGAGTGGGAAAGCTTTGTAGTGGGGAGAGGAAAGGCTTTAGGTTTGCTCTGACCAGAGGCTGGTAAGCTAGAAGCAGGCTCATTAGAGCATCCTGTGTGATTGGTCATGGGAATATATTTGGCTTTCTCTGGTTGGAAGCAGGGACAAAAATCAGGGAAGCTCTCAGTAATTAATCAAGCCCTGGCCATTTGGGGCCAATTATTATGGGGGTTATTGTTTGGCTTCCAGGACTCTTTGCTAGAAATAATGATCTGACTTCCTACAAGTCTGACTTTACACATAGCATATTGGCTTCCTGGGCTGGTTGTTGTAGATTGTCGGTCAGAGTTCTACTTTTATAGAGATCCTATTTCATATTCTGTCTCTTCTAGAATTTCTAAGAAAATAATCCTAAATGAAGGCAGAGATGCTTTTTGAAGAATTATCCAAAGTATGTAAGAATTGAAACAACCTAAATTTACAACAATAGGGGTCTAGCTCAGTAAATTATGCAGTATCAATGTAATATTACATAACTACCATTTTTAGATGATGTAGAAGAATATCTAACCTCATTAAATATTTCTACTTTAACATAATCATTAAATATCTATATTGTGACTTAACTTTTATAGAACAAAAAAGCATATATGCAAAAAAAAAAAAAAAAAGACTGGTGTGCTATGTATCAAATTGGCTCCTGTATCAGCGTGGTGGGGTTAAGACTGATTTAGAATTTTTTCTTTTCTCTTGCTTTAAATTACATACAATTAATGTGCACCATTTTTTATAGACAGAAAATTCCTACAAATGTGTTATTTTGAAGGGGAAAAAGGAAAACAAGTAGTCTATATGTAGACATATGTAATGTACCCATTTAAGAGAAGGGGCAACTAAAATATGAGAAGGAGACATGAACAAATGAGTCCAGATACGTATAGCGTGAAGGGGGAGAAAGCATTTGCTTTTGCCATTGTGTATGCGATATGATCACTGGCCAAAGCTACTTGTTATGATAGCCCTTTCTCACAAATGTGTTTCTTGAAAACTGTGAAAACTTCTGTCTTGACAAGCTGTCAAACGAAAGGCAAACATTTTTGTATCAAAGAAATTCTAATGGTAGTTTCACAGATGTGCTGGGAATGTTTATCTTCAGGACTCACAGAGAAGCCAGCAATGTTTCTCTTGAAGTCTGAGGACGAAAACTTTATACCCCAGGGAAGCAAACATAATTCTCCTTTTTGAGGGCCCGGGCAGATCTTGGTGGGCTTTGCGAGTGGCATGTCTTGAAAGGGCCTATAGATTCAAGCCACTCACTTGTGTTCTTTAGACAATTTACTTGGAAGAAGATAGCTCTTGGTATCTTTGTTCTTGGGAAAAGAGAGGTCATTATAGCCCCAAAAATGGCCGTTGGGGTATATCCTCAGACAAGGAAGGGCTGACCCTTAGGGGTGGATTCCACTGTGCGTAGTAGTGTAAGCTAAGACTCTTATTTTGGTCAGTTATTTAAGGAGGATCGTAAAAACTCAAATGACCAATCTGTACCTATTGATCTTGGCATTCTTATTCACCTTAAAATACTCTCAGGGCAAGGAGCAGGTGTAGGATCTCACTGTGCCTTCCACAGGGCCAAGTATATAGTGCGAAGTCAGCTAGACTCGAGTGTCTACTTTATGAAGGGACTGAGTCTACCTTTACCTTGAAAATCTGGACATGGAGAATGAGTGAGAAGGAATGATTGATAAGATTTTAAAGTGGTAAATGGGACCTTGCTCCAAAATAGCCAAGTTTGTTTATGAAATTTATTTTCCATCTGACACTGCCCATTTATGAGCTATGAACCTTTCAAGCCCAAGTAATCCAAATGGGTGATTTTCAACCAGCTAAGCCAGTGGTCACTGGAGTTATGTCAAGGGAATCCCAAAATCTGCACATAAAGTAGATGGTGTCCATAGATGTCTAAATAACTTGTCTCCAACATCTATGTGCTTATGTTTTTCAAATATGTTTAGGAACTTCCATAATTAGTAAAATTAAAATTTATTTAAACACATTCTGAATTCATAGGTGCTATATAGATTTTCTGTCTATTCTTGTTTCAGTTTGGTAACTTATTTCCAAGTGCTTTCACATTAATTTCTTATTTAATATTATGTTCACACACAAAGCAATGTTTTTCAGATAACTGCTCCCATGAGGAAAAGGAGGAAATCCAAGAAAGTGAAAAACCTAATGAACACAGTTCCAAGCAAGGAAAACCAGACCTGCCAAGTCAAGACCACACTAGCACCAGCCCGGTGCTCACTGAGCCTGCCAAGATCACGACCCTGTGAGCGTAACTTACTTACTTAGCTTTGTGTTGGTACGAAGCGTGAAGCAGCTTCATTTCGGTGGCTGCTTCTTTTAATGATTTGTTAAGGATACGGAGGAGTTCCGAATAGTTTTTGAAACTTTTATATATGTTAAGTTTCCAGGGCAATAGACAAAGACAAATAATCTACAGGGTAACTTCCCAGCAAGATAGTTCTGTCTTGCAAGTCATCAGTGGGCCTGAAACATCTGTGCAAGATGAGATGTCTGTGGATGCTATGCATGTCTTCATTGATGAACATGGTAAGTCTTTAGAGCTCTTTACTAAGGAGGAAGAAGGGATAAAGCTGGTGGCTTTCTCACGCCCACGTGGTCTCTTAGCCTCAGTGCTAGACTTTGGAACAGGAAGACTTAGTCCTGTGATTGCTCACATACAATGTTCTTAGAGCAGAGTGCCCCCTCCTACCTCAGGGCCTTTGCACATAGCATATCCCCATGCCAACAATGTGCTGTTTATCCTTCATATCTTAATTCTAAAGACGGTTCTTCAGGAAAACCTTTCCTGGACTCCCCAGACTTAATCAGGTTCCTATGCTTTTTGCTCTCTGAACACCCTGTCCTTTTTCCTTCTTTGATACTATTATAGCTTCTGATTATTTATTGACTTATAATTTGATTAATGGTGTTGTCCACCTCACAGTTGTAAACTTGAGGAAAGCAGTGCCTGGCACCTAGTAAATATTCCTTGGATGTATGTTGAAAATCTGACCTTGATATATATATTTTAGTGCCTTGTTACAAAAAGGATTTAAAATAGAAAAAGAAAGAAAAAAAGGAGAAGGAAGGAAGGGTAGAAAGAAAGGGAGAAAGAAAAAGAAAGAATTTTAAGTGGCAAGTTCAAAGTTCTGTAGATAAGGGATATAGGTCCTTGTTTTTTGAGGATGGGTCTTTGGCTTAAGTCCCTTATAGCTCAATTAATGTTTGTTATTTTACTCTCAAAAAGATCCTGGTTTGCATAATAAATTATATGTTAACCCTATCAACAGATGAGTAGCTTAAGGTTTGAAGTGCTTTTGCATCTGCAGAAATACAAAGAACTCTTTTACATTATAAAGAACAACATTAACCCTTCTATCAAAGCCTCCAGGGGGGCTTGGGTTTGTCCTCATTAATGTATCTCTCCGTGGGCAGCGTCTCCAGGTTGAGGTCCAGTCCTTCAGTCTCCATTCCAGCTGCTTGTCACCAACAGGGTTAATTACGCATCCGTGTCACCTGAAGAAGGTATTCCTAAAACCTCTTCTCGAGGGAGACCACTGACATTTACAAAGTGAACTGATTTTCACACCACAATACCCTAAACCTCTTTAGCAAGCTAATTTAACTCTGCAAATTAATCCCATCTCTTGGTTTTCCTCATTACCAGCGCGCTCCACCACTGCTCATCTGCAGATTCCGAGGTGGGGATGGTCTCATGTGCGCCACCAATCAAAGCTGCACTGCGATAAGCCTTTTTTTGCACGGGATACAAAAAAACCCCAGTCATGGCTTATGCTGACCATACTGACACATGATGAAAACATGCAGAACAGCGAACTGAAGGGAATACAGTTGACCCCTGAACAACATGGGGTTGAACCGTGCAGGTCTACTTGTACACGGGGTTTTTTTTTGATAAATACAGTGCAGTATTGTAAATGTATTTTCTCTTCCTTATGACTTTCCTAATAACATTTTCTTTTCTCTGGCTTACTTTATTATAAGAAAACAATATATAAAACATATAGGGGCGCCTGGGTGGCTCAGTCATTAAGCGTCTGCCTTCAGCTCAGGTCATGATCCCAGGGTCCTGGGATCGAGCCCTACATCGGGCTCCTTGCTCCGTGGGAAGCCTGCTTCTCCCTCTCCTACTCCCCCTGCTTGTGTTCCCTCTCTCACTGTGTCTCTCTCTGTCAGATAAGTAAATAAAATCTTTAAAAAAAAAAAAAAAAGAAAACAATATATAAAACATATAGCATTCGAACTGTGTGTCAATTGACTTTATGTTATGGGTAAGGCTTTTGGTCACCAACAGGCTATTAGTAGTGAAGTTTTGGGGGAGTCAAAAAGTTATATGTGGATTTTCAACTGCGTGGGTGGTAGGTGCCTTTAACCTCCACGTTGTCCCAGGGTCAAATGTATATAAAAGTGAATTAAGAGATGGTGCAAATTAATCGATAAAAAGCAATTAAGTAATAGGTAACTGAGGCAAACTTGTCTAAGCATATTATTACAGGGGTATGTCAAGATGATTTTTCTTAGTTAAGTTACACATCCTGTGGAAAAATACAAAGAATGGACCTAGATTACCGATTATTATTAAAACAGTCTAAAATGAGTTCCCTCTAACTTGAAAAAAGTATAAGCTGAAATGATCAGATACCAATAATTGTCTAATATTCTTTGCTGAAATTTTGTGATTTTCCAGGGGAAATTAGATCCTGTTACTTAAAGTCTGGAAATCAGAAAGAAGGCCCTTTACAGCATCCACCATCAAATTATGACAGTCTCTCTCATGCTCGGTAAGTGGAGGTTTGGTTTCAGGTTTGGGAGCTGTCGCGTTGCTGGGGGACATGCAAATTACTCTGACTGTAAATGAAGTGAGGATCCTGGTTTAGAATCAATGTGTTAATCCGTTTGTAGGTGTCAAAGCATGTGGGTTTTGTGTGCAAGAAAGAAAATCCGATGTTGTAGAAAAATAAAAAATAAATTGAACTGTTTTCATAGTAGCTGGGTCCAAAAATGAATATAAACATGTAAATATAAATAGGAATCCTGTGCAGACAATAGTGCTCCCTTCAGGTAAGACGGTAATGCAGCTCGAGAACATGGTCTTAAATTTGTCCCGAGGAATGGACCAGAAACGTAGTTAGTTCTCATCCGCACTAGTGAAGGCTAGCTCTTTTGTAGATAGGTGTTCTAAACATTTGTTCTATTTTCCCTCCTTCAGAATGTATTGAATAACTTTCTAAATTTGTTAATTAAGTTGATATTAAATTAGCTTATGTATCTGGAACATACCTGGATTCATACCTGGATTCATGGCAGCACTGGGCAAGCTATAAATCTTACTCATGGTGGATTGAATTCATTGTTCATTCTGGACTTCAAGATTCTTTTTTTTTTTTTAAGATTTATTTATTTATTTGTGGGGGAGCTCAAGCATGTGTCTGAGCAGTGGAGGGGGGTGCAGGTGTGGGGGAGGGAAGAGGAGAGGGAAAGAATCTCAAGCAGACTCCCTGCTGAGTGCAGAGCCCGGTGGGACTCACTCTCATGACCCTGTGATCATGACCTGAGCCAAAAATGAATGCTTAACTGACTGAGCCACCCAGGCACCCCTGGCTTCAAGATTCTTTGAGGATAATCCATGTAGACGGACTCAGTTGCTTACTCTAAGTGTGGAAGTACATTTTTCATGTACATTTCGTTAGAATTGTATGTATATTTGAAGATTTTTGGGAGTCCTTTGTGGTGTGATTGGAATGCCTTAGGCTTCATTCTTGCAGAGTACAAAGGGAGTTACAGGAACCTCAATTCCAGATCCTGTGGTTGAGTGCTCCTTCCCAAGGTCAAAGTTCCCTGAACGAGTGTGCCCAGGAAATTCAAGGAGGAGCCTCCCAAGGGCCTCGAAGAAAGTTCATCTTGGACCTTGCAGTCTGGTCTCCAGCTGGGATTTTGTTGTGTGCCAGCCTTCTACGGCATTCCCTCACTGTTGTCACTGCTGCAGAAGAAGCTGGTGTCGGCTGTTCCGGCAGACCTGATGGGTACTGTGGGCGGTGGCTCCCCCCAGGCCACGCCGTCCCACCTGGGCCCTGACCCCGAAGCAGGGTGCTGCGTCCAGAGTCACTCCTGTGGGGAAACGGGCATGTTCTCCTTCCCCTCATCCTCTGTCTCCTTCAGGTGCCCACATTCCAGTCAAAACAGAAAGCAAAATTCTTCTTCTCCAGCCAAGAAACACGCAAAGTCTCCATGCAAAAGTCTCCCTAGAGGAGAGGGAGGTTTGCTGTCCACACCTCGGCCCCAGCCCCAGGACATTTCGTGACAGTGGCTCGATGGATTTAGGGGTCTAAGATGGCAGCTTTCTTGGGCCAAGTATTTAATTCCGTGTGAACACAGCTTTGAAAGCTGTCACATTTTTCTGCAATCCTCAGTTGGAAGCTGTAGTGTTTTAAAACTAAATTTAGAACAATTATAAGACCCTTATCTTATCCCAAAATAAAGTTACAAGACTTTCTTATTTTTATTTTCCTGGACAAAGTGCTTCACCTTCCCCCTTGATAAATACTTCAGTTGCATTTGCCAGGAAGGCCTGTTAGCATAAGGTCACATATCCGGAGCCTGAGGAGACTAAAAATGTAGTGTGCAAATCAGCATCAGGGAGAACAGGGTTTCCCGTAGGCCCCACCTCCTCAGACCATGCCTCTTGTGGAGCTACCCTCTAACTCCTCTTCTCCCCTAAGTGCTCTCTCTTTATTAAATTCCCCCTAAGTCTTGTTTCTTTCATTTCCCCTCATTTCCTCCCCAGATTCGAGCTCTTTTGTAACCAGCCCTCCATTCCCAGAGCTGCCTGGATTTTACCACAGGGCATTTCCTCAGAGGAGCTGAGAGCTTTCCGCCGGGTGAAGCCGTGGCTCCGCTGCTGGGGGCTGCTGAATGTTTTTGTGCTGAGCACCCCTGCGAAGCCATGTGGAGGGTCTCAGGTCAGGCCTTCCCGAGCTCCGCCTTTTCACGTACATACCACAGGTAGACCCCCTTCCTGTTGCACATGAGAGTATCCAAGTCTAACAGGCCTCATCACCGTGGGGATTTTGGGTCCTGGTAACTGAGACATCTTGTAGATGTTTTCAAGGGTGTGGTTTCTCTTTCTCCATCGCTCTCCCGTTCCCATTCCTGTGTTTTGACACCACTCTCAAACGCCCTGCTCTGGTGGTCAGAAGACGCCTATCATAGCCCCAGGCCCATGTCTTCTCTCATTCAAGTCCAGTGAGGACAGCATGCTGCTTTCCCGTAAACCCCAGTGGAAGTCTCATTGAGTCTGACTGGCTCTGACTGGGCCATGTTCCCTGAGCCCAGAGCCCAGTCACCAAGGCAAGTACTTGACTTAGCTCTACGTTCAGACGCAGAGCTGGATTGTAGGTTCCCTCTGAGAAAGTATGGGGGTAGCTCTTCAGAGGGACATTTGGAGAAAGGTGGATGGATGCAGGGCAGCAAAATCAAGAGATGACCCCTGAGGACTCTCTGTTTCTGGTAAAATGGTTCGATTAGATTTATTACTGAACTTCTTTAAAGAGGATAATGATCAAGTTTTGTAAAAGCAGCTTTCCCCTTCAAGAAAAGCCTTATATAACGTCCCTAGTCGTCACTAACATTTCTTGGGTGTGAACATGCCGATGGGGAGTTCTTGGCCCACCACCTCACATGCCAAGTTCTGTCTTTGTCCACCTGCCCTCTCCCCAAGGTAATTTGACAGGGCATTGGTTTTAAGAGCTCTAGGAAAGAATGGCACACAGCCATGCATATCTTCTCCTTGTCGTGCTTCACAGATAAAATGGAATAATATACATGTTTGCTGTCACACAGACAGACTGTTTGCTTGAGATTATTCATGTTCTCTAGACTGCCTACGCGCTGAAATAAGTTCGTCGTTTAAAGGGGACTTTGTTATGGGGTGTTGCGGCAATTCAGTGGCTCATTTGGACATAGGAGATGTACAGTGTGCTTCCTGCTTAATGAGTGAGAACAAAACTCAAGTCACTTCACTTAGCACAATTATGGTGTTGAAGCGGTTCCTTCGGTAGTTTTGGGAAAGTGGTTAAGGGGGTGCCATATGTTTAACTCATGCTCAGGAAAAATGGCTCAGTGCTCTGCAGAGTCAGATGATCTTCTGGATATAAACTGTCGTCTGACAGGCTTATGCTGGATATTCCAACAGTCTCAAAGTCCTCCCCAGGTCTGGGAACAATGAAAGCTATGCCACCCATCATGGGAGGCTGATTTCTTTGGATTCGTAATAAGTCTTGGCTTTCCTGGCAGTTCATGATGTAATGATGATTTGCGTATCTTTGAACTGGTTGTATGAAGGAAAAACTGTTGTAAATAGGATACAAGCAAGCAGGCTGGTTCAACTGAAATATTTTAACCCCTGCATTAACGTACTGCTGTGAGGGGTGTGCATGTGGGAGAGCGTCCTCTCTATCTCCAAGGTAAAGAATGATACCAGAGCGGAAGGCAGCAGACCAAGTGCAAGGCCACAGGTTAGGATTTTGCCACTTAGAAGGGCCAGGTGCCTCACGCCTTACACCCGTGTCCAAGATGCCTCCGGTCTTTCTGTGGGAAGCAACGTTATGGCAGTTCCTGGCCCCGGAGGAAGAATTTCCGTGTAATAATTCTGGCAGTGGTGGCCACCACTTGCAAAATATGTATTATGTGCGAAGCACTCTGCTAAGTCATAAATTATCTAATTTCACCTGCATGACAGAACGGAGGCAGGTGATATTTGCTCCATTCCACAGCAAAGGAAGTAAGACCGTCTAAGACTATGCCTAGTAAGCGGCCTGTGGATACTTAAATCTCCCTCCCTGCTCCTCTCCCCCAGCGGGGGCCACAAACTCAGAGCTCTGTGGCTCCCAGGCAGGGTGGCTACTGCAGCCCACTGGAGGGCATTGATCCTTTCTGCAGAGGGCCTGCCACTGCTTCTTTTCCGTCTACTTAGGCCTGGTCTGGTAAGCCTGGCCTGACCGGATTTTCCAGTATTTTCTGCAAGGGGCTAAAAATCCACATTTATTTGTAATATTCTATTTTGCCTCATGTTATCAGTTTTATTTATTTATTTTTTGGGGAAATACCACAGGCCACAGATGACGTGTGTGGTTGGCTGTGGCCTGTGGACTCCCGGTTGTCCACTCCTGCTCTGAAGCCTGGGCCTTCACCCTGCACCCTGAGTCCTCCTGGGGAGCAGCCCTTCCTGCAGATACATGCCCTAGGGAGATGCCCAAGTGCACGTCTGGGCAGGTGCGCAGTGAGCCCGCTCCTCCGCACCCCTGCGCAGCCCTGTCCCTCATCCCTCCTCTCTGCGAGGCCCACATGAGCCCACCATCAGCCATTCCTCTCTAAACATCTGCTCTTCTTTGCCTTGAATGCCCTTCTCTGTTCAGTCCTACCTTTTGGAATAATCATCTCTCAAAGCACAAATTACAACCTGCCTCCTTATACTGCTTTATCTGATCAGTCCCTACTGCGAAAATAAAACGATTTTCCATGTCACCATCAGAGGAGGGCTCATCGCATTCTCTCGGTGCTTCATTTATTTGTGTAGGTCTCCCATCTCTCCGGACTGTTCTTGTTTGGAGAAAAATGTGCCTTTAGCCCTCACTTAGCCCTCTGCAGATAGATGTTCAGTAAGTGTTGAATTGAATCAAAATGAATCATTGGACATGACACAGGTAGACCAGTTGGAGTTCTGGACCGTGTGCAGACCCGCTGGGCATTTAGGGGGAGCAGGTGAGGAGCTGAATAGGAGGAGCGGAGTCGGGCCCCGGGGGCCATGAAGACTGGTTGGGCAGTTGACGCTTTGTTCTACTTGTAGCAGGAGCAATCTGACCTATTTGTGGACAGAAACAATCCCATGAACATGGGATTGATTATCAAGACAACATCAACAAATGAGGCCCTCACCTTGTGATGGTTTGGAATGAAAGAGCCAGAAGCACTAAGAGTTTGCCTGGTCAGTTGAATACAGAATGTTATCTTCTTTTTGTAAGTGGGAAAATGGACCCCAAAAGCCCCCAAACTAAAACTAAAACAGACAATCCTGAAAAATGACTCGTTTAAACCCGCTGTACGTAGAAATCAGAGATTGCAGCTGAGATTAGATTTTCCCATCTTGTATTCCATTCATCCCTGAGGCAGTAGTCCTCTGTGTCCACATGGACAGGGGCTGTGGAGAAACACTGGGACCCATAGTACCCCCCGGAGCATGCACACGAGCATCAGTCTTAGGCTCATCCAGGTTTCGGCTCCTGCACTCCTACGAACTTTTCAGTTGACATTGAGCAACTTGCTTAGCCATCTTAGGTATTAGTTTCCTAATCCATAAATGGAAATAATATAGTAATCAATTAACTGGCTAGCTTTACTAGTTAAATATAATAGATATCGGCAGTGCTTAGGACGGTACCTGCTATAAGGACATTGTTGTTATTATCTGCAAACACAGGCGGTGGGCCAGGGGCTCAAGTTCACTAATGGCCTTGTAGAGCAAAGCATCCTGACTTAACCTCGGTGGAAGCCTTCCCTCTTGGGCTTTTTTGAGTCACTTTACGAGATTTTAAGGTGGTTAAGTACTTTGCGTTCTCCCTGTCAACCTGTTGTGTTCCAACATTTGGGCCTCTGTCCTAATTTTAGAGCAGGTACTTTAATATTGTATCCCTGGCTTCTCATGACATTAAATGTTGAGTTCTCCCACTATAGTAAATATAAACTTTGATTTTGAACTTGGAAGGATTCCTAGTTAGGGCTGTTGCTAAGCCATTCAGCCATGGAAGATATTGGAAAAGCAGCTTTTTCCCTGTAAGGCAGCTTCAGTGGCTGGGATGGCCTCCAACTAGGCCATTAAACCACTGATTCTTATTATTGGCAAGCAAACCATTCCTGTTTGCCATTGTTCATTCCAGTTGCCATGTGACAGTTTTATATCCTTGACTCCCAAGCATGAATAGGGAATTGTTTGCAGTGCAACCTCCGTGTCTCTTTGGGGATTCCTGGAGGAAACCAGGAGAGGAAACAAATTTCCCTCCTTGCTCTCACTGTCATTATGCGAACCAGTGCATTTCTCATTAACTGCCGAAGAAATATAAGCAGCATTTTCCGGTTGTACAGTAACTGTCCATAAAGCAGGTACCTTTGGTAACGCTCTCTAACGTAAGTCTGTTTTCCCCAGATACTAGAAGGAGGGAACTATGGCTTGAACTGCAGCATTTGGAATTGCTACTTAAAAAAACTTGCAGAGGATAAATTCATTACCCAGCACATAGGACTGATTTAGTAGCTCAGCCTAAAATGAGCTAATCTTCCTAGAAAGGTATAGTCACTAGTCTGCCCAGAAAATCAAAGTTGATGTAGGCTATCTGCTTGGGAAGTGTGTCTTGTATCTAAAAGGTTCGTTGCAGACTGGACTTCTATTTCCTCTGTAGGTCTTGCAATTAAAACTTGATAGTTTCTTTGCTTTGTTCAGCAGAGATTTATGTTTCTTTTGTCTATAAATTCTTCCAAGTAACATAGCAGAGCTTTCTTGTGTGAACATATATAACCATGCTTCAGTATTAATCTGGCTTTTCCAGTGTCATAAACAATCTAATGAAAATGCATACAAAACACATATTGTTTGCTCTCCAGTGAAATCTGATTGAAAGACATAGTATTTACATTCATTTTGAATATCCATTATTCAAAAAGTAGGCATAGTAGTCTACTGAATGGAAGGCTCATTCGGGAGAATACTAGTTTAGATTTTATTTATTTGAGAGAGAGCGAGAGAGCACGCCTGTGCACACATGTGTGCAGGTGCAAAGGGAGGGGCAGAGGGGGAAGGAGAGAGACAAGCTGACTCTGAGTGGAGTGCTGGGCTCCATCCCACGACCCTGAGATCGTGACCTGAGCCTAAGCCAAGATCCGATGCTTAACCGACTGAGCCACCCAGGCG